TTCAAGGCGGCATTTTTCACATGGAGCTCTTATGGTTGATGAGAAGTCATTTTTAGGTATTTTTTGTCGAAATTTATTATAAAAGTTAAAAGAAAAGTTTTTAGTATTGAAGGATATGTAATTTTTAAATTGTTTTGACGGTAAACTGGGGACAGTTTGAGAAGAAGAGGAGGATGTGGTGAGCAAGATCTCTACTTAAGCAAAAAATTTAAAAATTATGTGAAAATTCGAGTTTTTGGTCAAAGGCACTATTATTATTGAAGTTATTAGTAATCAAGGCTATCATAGTTGATTTATAATCTTCATTTCATTATCTTTCAAATCATATATTTACATAAGCAATTGATAAGAACATTTAAGAGTGAAGAAAAATTCGAAAATATGGGTATGAAGGTTTGGAAAATGGTTTTAGCTTATTATTAGAAGAGATATTGGTTCAGGAAGGTTTTATTGTGAAAGAGAAGGATCACATTAGTCATCAGCAACTTTCATCATGAGGATTGATAAGGGAGGTGTGAAGTTATTCAAGAAAAGGGAAATTTTGAAGAAGGGTACTATGGTATTAATTCCTGTGTAGTGATGTCATTGATGGATTGATTGCGCCAAGAGTTTTTCAGAAGGATTTCAATGCTGTGTGATTGATTGGAGTGCTGTGGAATGATCTTTTGATAGAAGGAAAATCATTATTAGACGTGAAAATAGTCAAAATTCATCAAAAATGGGAGTTTTCAGTTAATTACATATGGTAAAACTTGTCAGAATTAGGTGTGTGATAGTTCATTCGACGCAGAATCATTGGTTTCATAATGTACAACCTTTAAATCATTAGTAGCGGAGGAGTAGTGAAAAAGGTATAAGGCAACAAAGAAACTGGAGTGAATTTCGAATTTGGAGGTTACATGTGACATTTACATGACAAAACTTTATTTTTGCAATCTTTACAACTCAATAACTTATTCATCACACATCAGAAATAGGTGATATAGGGGTGATAAATGATCAGAATCACGAGGGCTATCAAATGAGCTATAGTAATCCAAAATTGAACAACATTACAAGAAATTCGTAATTCCAAAAATGGATTTCAGCTATGAATATTAGGAAAAAATCACCTGTATTCATCATAAGAAGATCTGTTCATCATTTATTTACATCAATTGATCAAATTCACGCCTTGAATCATTACAAACAATAATCTTTATGACATCATATGATTACATTGGAGGATACTCTGTTGATTTTGACGGTTTTTGAGGGTTTTTGGAGGTTGTTGACCATTGTTGAAGGTTGTTGGAGGGTTATATACTATTGTTAAGGATTTTACGGGCCTTTGTTCCCCTTTTTACTCATCTTATACTTTTGTTAGAGTGTTTTTAATCATTATTAAATTACTTTACCAGTACTAAGTTCACTAAATTGCCCCTTTACATCAAAGGAGAGATTTCTTTACGTGTGATAAGACTACAAGTCTTCATGGAATAACAATCAAAGTGATTGTTGCTTTGCTAGTAATTAAAATTGTGTTTCATTGTGGTTCAAATTGGATAACACTACAATAGTGTTGAGATTTCTTTATAATTAAAAATCACGGGAATAATACTTGAATTAAGTATTGAGACAACTTTCTCTGTGTGCCTTATCCCAAAGAATTCAGCAAAACCCCGTGTTGATTCTTTCAAAGAGGCAGTCTTAGGCAACTTCTACTAGATACTTTATTAGTAGATTATCCCTCTTTAAGCTCTGTAAAGCTCTTGTTGAGCTTTAAGTTCTACAACGTGGCACATGTCCTTCTAGGACTTTTGAAAACTTGCGATGTGGCAAACTTTTCCGGTTTGACTGTACATGGTTCAAAGATCTTCTTGTCAAGTTTTTATTTTTTTTCTACGGTTGTTTAAGAAATGCTTGCCCGGACCACCACTCCCTTCTGTATAACGGCTCTATGAACAGAGAGAATACTGTATTCTCTGACTGTTCATAGCTTCGAAGCCAATCATCTCAAATCCACTCGCATCCCTCTACACATAGCACTACAGCCATTTCAGCAATCATTGGTGACTTTCGAGGTGATGGGTGTCGCCCAGTTTTAACTACGGTTTAATTTTTGGTCCAAAACTCAGTTTTTTTCAGTGTCACAGGCCTAAACCTTGTTTTGGCTCCGGCAATATGCTTTTATCTCACGGTGGGCATGGTCAAAAAAGAGTTTTGTTGAGTTTTTGCCAGTTTTGGATTAAATCTCGACACAACACAAGAGAAAAAAAAGTTACCGTTGATTCTTGAAACGGCTGTACTTACACATAGAGATTTTTTCAAATTTCAAAGAGCCCCGGAAGCCCCGACGGACCCTCAGCACACCCGGCCCCATCCTCAATATCATAAGTCTTTTGACTACTTGTACCCCACTCGCACCCCACTATCCCAATCACGCCTTCTCGGAATACCACTCATCGAAACCATTCATATCAGTCAACCATGCCACTGTGCAAAGTCTTCAATCCCAAATCCCCTGATTCCTGACCCAAACAAAAGAAATCTGTCAAAGTCAATAAAGAAGCTCAAGCCAAATTTGATAAGGACATAGCAACAGCTCAAAAACTCCTTTGCGGCCTCTCAGTCTCACCTCAAGCCAATCACCTTCTTCACAACCCTCATGAGATCGACCAATTCATTCCCTATGGAGACAATGAGCAGTCTGACAATACACAAGACGGCGATGGCATTGGCATTGGAGATGCATGGGTTAACATGAAGGACTTCGATGAAGACGGGTCAATTCAACAGTTCATTGCAAAACATTGAGAATATCATTATGCGCACGCACGAGATTGGCTTTGGGAGCAGTGGGCTGCAATAGAAAACCAGCTCACTGCTGCTTCTAAATAACAAAATGTTGCAAGCTACTCGCATCACTCGAGTTTGGTTATCTGTTGCTCGGTCCGAGTATTTGGATTTCATTGTTCAGTTTGTTTCTCTTATATGTACTTTTTGTTTCCACATCTTCTATTGTCCAATTTCACTTTGTTTTTTGTTGACTCAAACCTTTTGAAGCAAGCAGTTTTCTCACTTTCTGAAAAGCAAATGTTGTTTATTACTGCATTTGGCACCACATAGCTTCTTTCCTTCCTCCGATTACTCCTACATATCTTTGAATTTTCCTTACTTGTAGTTGAAAAGTAACTCAATTCAATTGATTGTCCATGTATTTTGACCAATGAAGTATTAGTTTTTTGGTCTCTTGGTCCATATGGTGAACCAATTAGCTCCCCCCACTGAGCCAATCACTACCACATGTTCATTGGCCTTTCATGTTTGTTGATTCAAGTGTCCACCTAATTGTGTTTGGGATCTGTTTGTTTGATTTCTCATTCTCATTGAACCACCAATTGTTGTTGTCCTTTGTCTTTTTGTTTCTTTGTAGATTGGAAGTTGTGCTTTTATAACACTGGTCACCCGCCATTTTGGCCACATATGCTTAGCCAGTAGGCTATAAAATGGCCTATGCTTTGTTGGTTTTTTTGGTCTCCACTTTGATTGGACAACCCTCCTCCTATCCCTGTCAATATTTTGCCAATATATATTTGCCCATTTTGCTTATTTGTATCAACTCCATTCCCGTTAAACAACAAACCCATGCATGCCTTGATTTGTAGACTGCAAGAATAACCTATCTAACCGTCAATTGTTTTTCAGTTTATTAGT